TATGAGCCATCCCGCGTACAGTCCCGACCTGGCACCTTGTGACTTTTATTTATTTCCAAAAATTAAGAACCAGTTGCGCGGTCAACGATTTTCATCACCTGAAGAGGTTGTCGAAGAGTATGAAAAACATGTTTCAGAGATTGTCACGGAGGAGTGGCATAAATGTTTTCAAAATTGGTTCGTTCGTATGAAAAAGTGCATTAACGCTAACGGAGAATGTTTTGAGAAACAATAAATTCATTTCTGACCATTTATAGCATTTTTTTCTTATTCATTCCGGAAACTTATAGAGCGCATCCATCACGTATAATATTCATATTATCATTTTCATTTAATTTTATTAGCTGTATAGCTCCTTACCTATTCCTGCCATCTTACCTATGTCTACCGCCAAGCAGTAATATGAGCATTACTGCGTTCCGTTTTTGAAGGGTAAGGGTGCTGGTTAAATTACAAGCGCATGAGAGTTGTCAACTTATGTGTCAGGATGATGACGGGTGCAGTGACAGTGCCCGTAAGATATAACAGAATCTTTTTTAAATTTGTTACATAGGTAGATTATTTATCATACACAAAAAGGTTATTTTTAAGCAACAATGTTTTTGTTTTCTAGTTGGTAAATGCTTTCCCTTCTATCTTGTTCTGTTTTTTGCGTGTGCTCGTGAAAATAGTCGAGGTAATGTCGTTTCTTACGAGAAGTCTGCCTCAACATTAGTTACTGCCTTAACATCCATTCTCGAGCAGTCTCGGGGATACCTGCATCTGCCATATCATATCTAGTTTATGCGTTACACAATTTACAGTTCATTATGCTGTGTACGATATTGTTACAAAAATTCCAAACTGTGGTGATTACCGTGTGACCACAAATGGGCAGTGGGTAAAAACCTAATCTAATCAGTCGTCCGGGTTTTAACACATTTCTGCTCAAAATCATAGGCGGAAACGGCTAATACGGAATTTGGTATAATTATTACAAATTTCGATGTAAAAAATCTGTTAAGATATGAAATAAAACATTTAACCTCCTTCAACACTCCTTCTTAAATGAGCTAGTACAGCCAGCCCAACTTCTCCTTAAACCTGCATTTCTTTCAAAATCTTTCAAGCTTTTCTCTGCTCAGTCCTTTCGTTAACACATCTGCAGGCATCATTGTGTTGACACATACTTCAAACGCACCTTACCCATTCGCACCAGTTCCCGAATATGTTTAGTTGATGTTACTCCGATGACGTACAGGATTTCCAGCAATTTGAATCGCAGACAGATTGACTATGAGTAGTTCCACAACTTCATTAATCCCGGTCAGCTCGGCTACAAGTGCAGTCAAAAATACAGCCTCCTTGCATCCTTCCGAACGAGGCACATACTCGGCTTCAGCACTGGAGAGTGCTATCGTTGTTTGCTTGCGACTTTCCCATGCTATAGGACATCCACCAAATATGTATACAAAACCAGTATAAGATTTCCTATCACTCCAAAACGATATAGACGAAAAAGAGGCAAATCTGCACAATACCCATCTTGCAATCCAATGGAGTCTCACTACTAAGGTTGATTTTTATGGAGATCGATTCTAGTGCATATGACCTAACGGTTTTTAGTACTGATTTATGTCAATGCGATTTTCAAGTGAATCCATCCAAAAGAAAGGCACATCGAATCATCTAGATCTTCTGATTGAGAGATTGCTTTCTAGCGATAAACATTTTGTAATAACATCATTCAATTTGAACAAAATTTGATTTAAAATATTCCATTTGATTCAAATTAAAATTTTATTAAAATTTGATATAAATTATTTCATTTTTTATTTTATTTCAAATATTTCAGTCATTGTAAATAGTTTTTGCCCTCGATATTGGGCGTTAATGGGTTTTAACCGGGTTAAACCCCGGGCGCTTACTCGTCTCTGCGGGTGACAAAACATATAAAGTATTAAAAAAAATTGCATGCACTAACTTCCTAAAGCTTGTCTCAAAACGTTATAAATGTGTTACACATGTTAGATATCGCTTTCTGTACAAGAAACATGTTATATTATCATAAGAAAATAATTTATGTTTCTATTTGAATGGACGCACCATTTTCTCATGGGAAATATACAAGTTATTTGAACAACGTTATCGAGAATTTAAATATAAATCGCGAAACTTCAAATCCTTTGTTTAGAATGTCGATTGACAAAAAAAGATAAAACATAAGGATGAGCGAAATGTTACCTCGATTTTGATCCTTTATAAATGATGATAGAAACATGGTCTGCGTTGATAAAAAGATTATATTTTTATAATTGTATTATTAGCAGTCACTAAATAATTTGACAAATATTTAAAATTTTACCGAATATAAAATTCAGAATAAATAACTAGTTAAAAAAATGTAGTTATAATTGCTAGTTCAAATAAATTACCAGCAGAATAAGTAGCAGCTAATTATTGAACCTTTCTAGAGACTACCATTAAAGCGCAAACACGAAGTGGAGATAAGACAGCCAGTAAACATGGTCGTGGCGGTTAATGAGAAAAATATTAATAAAAAACCTATTAAAGTTACCAACAAGCTGTAACGGGAGAAAAGACATGCACGAAAAGGCAGCAGTTGTCTCATTAATATATTTGATTGATAAGACAAGACACAAATTCGTAGGTTTTGTGAAAACCCTAGTTAGAAATGTTAATAACGATGATGTCATCAGTCTAGATATTTCCCCGAAACTAGATAACAATTGAACTCCAAACGAATATATTCAATAAAATAGCTTTCCACAGTATCAGAAAACGAAATACTAAAAGGGTTGCAGTCCAAGGAAAGACGTCACATTATCACATGATGTGCTACCGTGCAATAGAAGTATTATGCACAGTATTGGATTAGGAGTTTTATACCATAGTTAGAAAGATATTATTTCTGAAATGTTCAGATTGAGAGACGCCGAGAAACGGCGGGGTCGGCGCCCGTACAGCTGCGACGCTATCTCGCAGCCTGACCTTACTCACCCCAAGCGCCTACCGTCACCCTTATCGCATAATCGAGGACAAAGATCCAACACACACAATAAACAACTCAATAATTAATTACCTACAAAAATCTACACTACATAGAAAATCAATTTGAATTCGATCGAAAACTTAACGAAGCTATCGCGATCGTCAACAAAGATAATGGATGGCAAGAGATTGCCAAAAACGAGCAAAAATTATTTAAAGTAAATAAAAGCGGGCATGCGCGGGCGCACGGAACCAGTTTTCTGAACACGGGACGGGCCGATCCGAATAAGATAATCAACCGGGCGGGTAATTTCAGAGCATAAAAACAGACCGACTACGGCGTGCCTTCGCCAGAATAATTAATATTAACCGAGCGCTTAAAAGAAATTTCAAAACGAATACTCCGAGCTGTACTGGGGATAAATCATGTTGAGTTAGGTAAACTTCGTAACAAGGATTTGTGGTGGTTGAGTACTCGATCAAATTAGAGTTAGAATCATAATATCTGCATTAACATCGATGATGAAAGAGTCGTGAAGTAATTTCGAAATGACCGAAGACAAATTGATTGAAGACACTGGAACGCGGTGCGTAGATATTAGTGAGGCGAGCCGTGTGCCAGCATGATAAGCAGAATTGATGGATGACAATGCGCGTCGCATGTAGCGCAGCGCGCCCCACAAAAGAATAGTTAATTAATTCCACGATGAAACTTAACAAGAAACACAGGAAACCGTCTGTGGTAACATGGCAACATCAAAAACAAATCATTATAACTGCCCCATAAAACTGACGAGCCGGTTGGTAGTAATAATGAGGGATTAGGAGAATATGCGCTGTTAAAATTTGAATAAATAGTGGCGATAACGATACTATTGAGGAGGCAACCAATTTGCTGTCAAATAAATTTGGATGTGGCTACCGCGTGGTATTTTACGGACGCTTAAATTCCAGGAGATGTTTTGTCCATTTACAAAGACCCTTTTCGAAACATGTCAAGCATACTAATTAGTGTGACTCGTATAATAATGAGAGGTGATAAAATCTTTAAAGTGAATGGCATTGTCGGCTCGTAACCAATGCAGTTCGTTTTCAAGTCAGTAATGAGATCAATATCTGGACATTTTTAAATATCATTTGTAAAATATCTTATGCATGTTTGTAAAATAAACAGTCGTTTTACTTGATGAGTTGACGGGCGGATGGGTATCTTTAAAATTTGCATGTAGAATAGATTATGAGGCAGTTTATTCTTTGCATATTATTGTTGTATTGTAATTATATTTTTTTAATTTTGGTAAAGGGGAACATCTAATCAATGACAATAAAGCTGTTGAAGAAATTAATTTTATTCTTTTAGGTTGATTTTGCATTGGGAATGCTATATCTCATTCTAGGTTATACATTGTACAAAGGGACGTTAAACATCTACTGTGGTAAATAATACAGATACACTAACATATATGTTATCTTAGTTTCGAATTCTTAGGTTTTTGCATTGCTACACATTGGAAAAGAAACTATTTTTTTAGATTAATAGTGTATCAGTTTTTTCAAACAAATCAACGTTTTTTTTCACAGGTCCCGTGATTACTGCTGATTGATATGGTATTAGTCATCAAATTAAACAGTGATGAAATCGATAGATAAAACCGTCTTTGGTAGTAACATGGTGACCCGGGAAATGGTGTCACGGGACCTGTAAAGCGCCCAAAACGTTTCTTTTAAAAACAAATATACGCGATTTAGCTCCGAAAAGATAGTTTCACTTTAAAAATACATATCTTTTTAAACCACCATCATTCCGCAAAGGAGATAGGAGATATAAATGTTCAGATAAAATGAGGGAACTAGAATCTTCAACACGTAGATATGTGAATAAAATGCTAAGTCATCGTCGAGAAAGTTATATAGTTTTCAACTCTTACTTACTTTCGTGTCTTACTTAATACTGACAAAAATATCAGATGCAACATGTAGTGAGTAGATGGACCATATAATTGACTTACGTGTCAGCCAGATGGTGTAAGCATCCGTGTCTGGCATGGTGAATACGCCTAGGAGCTGGCAGCTCGCTGTAACAGCCACCGCCACGCGGCGACCGGCACATGTAGCCTGTGCCTACGCATTGGGCACTGTTGCAGTAACACCGCACACCCTCGTAGTCACTGTCTACTTTTGGATCTGAAACAAAACAGAACATTTTGCTTTAGTGAGATCTTATATTGGTGGCTATAAAGGAAAAATGAAAAGTGAAGAATATATGGCAAAAACTTGACAGAAACTTGAGTCTATCATAGGTAATACCGAGTGCGTTAATGACGTTGGTAGGGGCGCAGCGGTAGACGTTGTAGATTTTTTAAATAGAAAGTAAAATAGAATAGAATAGAAGTACGTCGTCTTTTAAAAAAGACGAATATTTAAAATATTAGGCTATAAGATACTAGAAACTTTACAGAACGCTAACGATGTAAGAAACGTCTAAAAGGAGAATGATATTGTAACTAAAAAAATGCATTGAAGTACTTGGAAAGTAAAATTTATAGAGTGATATAAATTTAACCTGATTAATTATGTAAAATAAAATTCACCGTCGCTAATTTCTAACCTAGTTCAAGAAACGTAATTAAGTGCTGATTATTGAAGTCAATATTGAAAAATTCGTGTAGTAACAAGCATGGCGACCACAATTGTAAAATTTATACGTTTTAAACCTGTTCGTATAGCAGACTCAGGAAATTGCATTGTAGTAGTAAATATTTTATAAAAGTGATAGGAGTAAATGCAATTCCGCATTCGACGCCGTTGTGGCGCCTCGTAAAACTTTATGGTTTTCAATGTACGGAAAATAATAAAGCTATTGACAGAACAGCCAATAAAATGTATGAAACGCTCGACGTAACAAGTGTTGGAAATAAACAACAAATTGGCAATAATACTTTACACACTATAACCTTACATGACTGTTGTAACTCAGTTCCATAAACACGAATTCTATTGTTCAGTATTTTCGGTTATTAAAACGCAATGGAACTTGACGACAAGCCGATGAACCGGTAAAAATAACATCCAGCTGGTCCATGTATGTGTATGAATAATGCGCACGTCATACTCCACGGGCCCTTACATAAATATCCTACAAACGGCCAGCCTCCGACCGCATTCAATGTAAATGCCGCGGCTCCAGACGATGAAACAAAACGAAATTAATTTCTGAGGGACTTCGGTTTATTTGCTTTAGATGAACCAACCTAAAAATTTAAGGAAGACCCCCCTTGATGTCCGGCATCTTTAAAATACCTCCGTCAACCATGGAACCACGTCGTTTCGGCTTTAATTTTTGTATGATTAGTGACTCAGCTGAAGCTACGCTGGGACAGCGCTAAAGAATCTCGATAAAAATTAAAACCTCGGAACATGAAGTTCATCAAATTTTAAGAGGCAATTAGAATACATATAAGGAGGTAAATGAACCCTTTTTACCAACCAATATTTGCTCGTATTAGTCAATTGTTGAGTGAAAAGGTAAAAGTTAATCATTAAGGCTTCGGATTCAGACAAGAAATAGTTGAATTCCTCGCGAGCTCTGTCGAAATAAAGTCCTCGGAGCGGCGGGAGGCCGCGGCCGGTCCGCGCAATAAATAAATAATTAAAGAGGAATAAAAAACCCGACTGAATGGGCAAAAAGAGCACGACGCAGCGGAGTTAATAACCGAACTCCTGCGCAGGGGAAATTGGAAACTTTTAATAGCGAACTTTAATAGCCTTTGCACGCAAAATTGCCTCCATTAATTGCAGTACCCATTGCGTTTATTATGAAACCGATTCTGTTACTAACATTAATTTTACGTTGTTTGTCTTATTCGCTTTACGGTTAATTTTATAGAGACTGTGAATAATACGTGTATTGACTTAGACAAGATCTGAAAATATCCCATTAAACATTTATTCATTAGCTATGCAATTAGTGTTATCAATGCATCTTACATTATAGACAGACGCCCATTAGTTGGGTTTTACAATCAATTCCCAAAAGGAACAAACGGAACACCGAAGGATAAGGTAAATAAAAAACAAACAAACAAAAGAGAAAAGGTCCCGGCATGTTATTTGGAATTGATAAATGGCCCTCCGGAGACGGGCGGGAAAGGGACGAAGCGAGATCAGACAGAGACAGACAAACTAATGACTGCAAGTCGGGATTTAAGTATGGGATAAAACAGTATAAGATAAAAGAAAATGCTTCTTTTTTCTTCGTCGGATCTCTTTTGATTCACATATATGATTCCTTATGGATTCACTTGCGTTGCTGCAACAGATTACTGTTTGAATGAGAGGGCGGCGCCGGCGCATCTTCACGGCACATTTGCTCGAAAAGCGCGCCTTCACGGATGTTGTAATCCATTTGTTTGGCCTACCGCGCATGATGTGAAGGGTTTCCAGCTATCGGTCACCCTCCGCCACGTGGCATACTCAATGAGGTGTCAATTTTCGGCTTCCTGTTTCTTGTATTAATTGGAAGTGATCCAAGTTTCTGGAGCATTTGTAATTATCTATAAGACTTCATTAAGTCTTAGATTAAATTTTAGAAGAATGAAAGTCTTTTTAGAAGATTAGGATTGTTTGTTTGAAAAAAGCCTAATCTTCTAAAAAGACTTTCATTCTTCTAAAATTTTACAATTATTAGATCTAAAACGTTTCGACGTACAGGGGTTGTAAACGTTGCACGGTCGTTACGCCAAATTAAGACAACGAGCGAACATGTTCCAGAGTAAATATTTAAAGTAGCCGATGGGATCGCGAGCCGGTTTTCGTAAATCCCGATTGAAATGTTAGCACGAAGCCGCTCTCCAGACTGGCAGATCCTTAAAACAAGATAACTCGACACGCCGCTCCCTTTAAGTGTCTATTCAATTTCATCTGAGTAGACCAACTAGTCCATTCAGGATATCGAGTTCCAAAGCTCATTCCTTCAGCGCATTTCACTCATTTTAGATTAGACTTTCAATTTAGATCGAGCATCAGATAGTGTTTACTGCGCTCAGAAATAGTCTGCTATTCCCGGCAGATTATCTGTGAAGGTTTTGAGTAGTCTTTCAGTTTTGTAGAGCTTTACTAACGGACGAGAATAGTTTTAACAATAACTGTTGTTCAAAGGCTAATAAGTTTTAGTGGCTTTATGTTTTCTGGTTATCAATAAAGGCTTATCATTTATAGGCGTTAGAGTTGGGATTCCAACACATTCAAAGCTTCTTGGATTGTCGAAAACGCCAAGCGGGTATCGCATGGTAATAAGCGGTCAGCAAATGTTGCGACAACGGCTTTCTCTTGGCGTTCACACGCTGTCCGACTATTTTATCTAGTACTTTATTACGTTAATAATGTTTGTGGCGCGCGCCGCGGCCGGTTTCTCAGCTATTCACATTGGAGCCAGCAACAGGCTTTATGCTGATTGGATGATGCGGAAACCAAGGCTGAGTTGCGGCCTTGTTGGCATTCCGATGTCCGCTATTCGAAACTATTTATCGGCTGTCGATTTCGACGATTTGATTTGTGGCTTCTGGGATTAACGCGGCACACTTTCATTAGATAGTTACTTATTGTAATTAGAAACGTCATTAGAGTTGTGAACATCATTGGTTGTCAAGCTAAAGACCCACCAGGAAAAGTCTTTAATAACTACCGAGTTAGTTAATTTACATTGGTTCTGGCTTTATCGTCCAGGGAATCACGACTCATCCTCTAATTGCGCTTGCTGAATTATCTCCTGTAATGGATGTCCTCGTCGGTGCGTAATTATGCGATGCGGCGGCGGCGTGGTGCGCGGGCGCCGATGCTGCGGCCGCGGGCAATTTCCATTGGAATGCGAGCCGCTTGTCTGTGGGTCGAGTAGCGTTTCTGCAGCTATCGCACGCTAAGATCGACCATTAAGCCTCTTAGCCGAAGCGCTCGTTCAGGAAGTGTGCAACAAATATGTACACCTAGCAAGCGAATGAGGTCCGAAATATATGTATATATTTTCCAATCAGCAAACATAGTTCATAGTGTGAGACTCCTTCGCAAGTGTACAAGTTTGTTAGTACAGGTTTGTTTTGCATCTTTCCGAGACGTGTGGGAGAAAGCTGTGACATCAGCGACGACGACCTTGTGTTTATAGCGCATACATCGTGAGATATTATCAAAAATAGGGTATCTCAATGTGTCGTAGTTTGGCAAATCATTTAACAGTTATACTTTATACGTGTAAGCGATTTGACGAAAACTTTTGAAGTACCTATTTAATTTTCGCATACTAAAATAGGTTTTCGTTGTAGAAGTAATCCTAGTAAATTACACATAATGTTGTATGACTATTTGAACGTTTAATATTATGAAAGACGAGTTCAGTTTAACACCCGGGAAATTGCTAACTCATTCGTTAGCCGCTGTGTTTACGATTACAACCAATAGAGACCACTTGACGACGGTTTATTAATAACAGCCCTTGTTCAGAAACGCTAGTGATGATGCAACGTTTGATTAACTTTAGGAATCTGCGCTCAGTAATGCTTTCGCATCGGCGTAATGTAAATGAGGCGTGTCTTAACCGTCAGACTGACTTGGCTAAATTGTTTCTAACTCTTATTACAACGGCTCAAAACCTAGTTTTCATCGAGATATGAGAATGCGGGATACAAGTATATATAGTTAGTTTTATCTATTGCTGATGCCGTCCACGTCCACGGGTGAGGTTATCGAGGCGCTTTCACGCCGTTTGAATAACATTAGAATAATGAAATGCGTTCGTCGAACTCCTAAAAGTGCAAAATAAACTAAGGAAGTGAGTAGCGCCGATAAATTCAATGTAGAAGCGCCACCTGTTCACGGAGAATCGACTATTCATCGCATCGTTAAGCCACAATGGGCCACAAAGGCTGCTTACCTGGCCGGAGCTATCGATGTTTTTTTATCGAACTCCTTACTCACGACTGCCGCCGCTAAATCCTATTCGAGAACGGGCTCCGATGGAGAGATACCCCTTCTTGATTGTGAAGGCGACATAAAATGTCACAACTACAATACTGTTCGTTTAACGCTCGTGACTCAGAATGAAGTGTCGTTTAAATCATAACAGCTTTCTGTCATCCAACGGTTCACTGAGAACTCGTGCCAACTTTCCATAAACACATTGATCTTTGTTAGGT